TTCATCTACTTGACTGTTACATAATTACTCACGTTCTGTTGCTCATTGATTGAAGATGGCATAAGCATGCCGAAACATGTCTCTCAAAAAAGTTGTCTATTTCTTACAACTTTATTTCTTTTGTGCACATATCCTAAGCTCATGATATCTGTGTCCTCCAGGAAGCAGGAGACGAGAATTGAAAAAGTTGCTAATGTCCTGTATAGAATCTTCCCTCGATAGATCACAAAATTCTTCAACACTGATTTCATTAGTTGCCAATACAATTAAGTCAGACGAGAATACCGCAAATCAGATACGGTGAACCAAAATTTATAACCCTTTTAGTAACACCAGCATTGTGAATAAATGTTGATGATTATTGGAGTGGACTTTTTATCAGATTGTAGGAGTATTTTGTACTACCAACAAAGGTCTTTATTTTGTTTTTTCAAGCGGTACGCTTAAACTCAAGATAAAAATTGAGGATATTTAGAAGATGGTTAGATATCTGTAGCAAATATCAAGAAATTCATGTTCATTCCGATCCGAAAGAAGGTTACAACAGTGACTAAAAAACGAACAACGAAACTGCGAGGTTAATAGTTAGATGATGCAATAGAAGAGCAGGTGTAAATCCCTAGAGAGTGTCACATGATCTTATCTAACGAATACCCTCAATGAATGATATTCAAAACTATTTAAAACTGGACTGTTATCACGAAAGACCGAGAACGTCTTCGTGGGAGCGGTAGTTACCAAAAATTTTGGGAAACGGGCACCTGCCCATTCTACCGAGACCCCGATATTGTTATTCCATGTGTTAGGTTCCATTCTTCCCCATAACCTCTCGACCAATCAAATGAAAGACAAAAAAAAAACAAAACAATCACGACTAATCCCCCACTTTTCTCTGCGCGGTCCGTGTATTTTGGTTTGCATTTAAAGTATGACACTTGAGCGAAAAATTCTCTCACGAAGGAAACAGAAAAATATTTTTACTATAGATAATCGCAATGAAGCTAGAATAAAAACTGAAAAACGAAAAGTAGATATTCTGACTCTCGCAGGTGCGTTGTGTTTCAACCAAGTGCCTTTATTTCCAACTAAAAGCTCTTCTAGTTACATCTACATTTTATCCTACCAAATCTAAATTGTGTGGCTTATAAAATATGGTGCGATTAAGCCAGTGGACTTAGTTTATTTGTCTAAGTACTAATTCAGCTTTCTGCGGAGTAGCTCTCTAAACGCCAGGTATTAAAAACGCTCCACCGCAAGAAGAACCGTGCTAATGGACATTAATATTTCAGTATCCTTATCGTTATCATTTTAACTTCAGCTAAGATGTAAAAACCTCAAATACAATTAAGGACACTTTCCATCTTACTAAAATTTCTGATTAAGCGAATTGAAATTCAAGCACAACATGTTCCTTATCCAGAACCATTTCTACGACATGATCTCTATTCCTAGTGTCCTATTAACTTTCTCGAAAGCTGAGGTACGTTATCGATTGGTTTACTGATATCTTATATGGAAGCCAGTTTTCCAAGTACTAACAACATATAAAACTAAACATGTTAAAAATTTGCCGAAAAATGATGTTTGTAGTTGGATCTCACGTTTTAAATCTGGATGAAAAAAAAATAATCTGCTTTAGATCATAGGATTTCAAACTGGAACTGAATTTTAGCTCAAAAGAAAGCGCCACTGGATTAAGCTCTCATTGAAAAAAAGATTACTATTACATTTTGACACTTGGTTCGAGAGAGAAGAGTCTATCCTCTTCGTGTCACCCATCTACAAAGTCTGCGACAGATCGGCCGTCGGACATTATGGCATACACGACGCCAACGGCGGTTCCTTAACACACGTCTGCAAATCCGTCGGGTTACCCAATTACATACCCGGTTACAAACCCAGCGTCTGACTCTACGTCCGATTTGGCGTCTCTCACCTAATAAACACGAGGGGAAATGTAATTAGTGCAAAAATCACGTTCCGTACATCTTACTTGAGTTCTAGTTGTGCGTTGATCAATTCAATACTTCATCACCACCCCCATCCCCCTCCATCCCCCGGGCATTTGTACTTTAGCAAGATTGGCGAATTCAGTTTTTTAATGAAGGATTCACTAAAAAAAAAATTAAACTACGTGTATTCCTAATAAAAGTCTTGACACATCAGCATGAAATTCTCCACCAAGGTAATGTTTAAACTCTCCCCCCTAAAAGGGCCTTTTGTGTCAAATACCTGTGTCCGAATTAGTGTCTATATAAATCATGTATGAGCGCATGAATTGTCCCCAGGATACTATATGGCATACCAGCCTATGGTTAGCACACATCCTCATTTCGCACTTTTCACAATTGTTCAAAAACGAAGTTGCCTTAGAATCTCAAAGTCTAGAAACCAAATGGGAGCGTATGAGGGACCAATATGGCTAATTCCAAGCGGAAAACATGGCCCACCTCGCTTGCTGGAGAGTAAATCAGGACACATTTTTCAATACATGTTACCTGCACGCAGAGCCAGTCATCAGTTTCATTAGGTAACTTATTATTTTATCTGTCATGTCAGCGAGGAATAATATTGGAGAGATGATTCTTCCTTTTAACCAATTTTTTCTCTTGATTTGCGGTATTTTGTCTAAGAAAAGGACAAGAGATGCTATATCCACGTCCCACCATTAGCCTGGCCTCGATCCCTTACCCTACCAAAAAATTATTAAGTATAACTTACGTGCGTGAGCAATGTCATCTAGGTCGCTTATTTCAGGGAAATCATCGGCCCCCTCGTCAATGACTCCATCAACATCCTCATCATTTTCCACATCAGCTTCCATTTCATTTGGGTTCATAGCTTCCTCGTCATTTACGTTCATAGCTCTGCTTACGACCACATAACTTGGCAGATTGGCACACAAATCCGCCATTTCATCACTCAGCACTGAACGATCATCAAGAAGTCCCACAACCTTCATTTGCACTTCAACTGAAGTAGTTGGTAAGTCTTCGCCTGTTCCAGGAGTTTGCTGAGTATATAATGAAACAAGCTTATGAGAATTAGGAATCACACACGCCAAAAAAATTTTAAGGCTGACGGTAAGAGAGCCAGGGTGAGAGCGTAGCTAATCTCACTTACCGTCTCTAAAGCTTCCTTTAAAACAGCGGGTGTGGGAGTTTCATGGACTGAACTCGCCATATAGCACGCCTTATCTTCTGCCATATGAATCATTGTCATTTGCTGCATGAAAAATAGATCCAGCTTTAGTCACAACTTTAAGGAAAAGCAAACACTAAAGAGGACACAGATGCAATGAACTGAGAAACTTAACATGATAAAGATGTATTGATATGGCGCAATATCCGAATTACTATGCTCTAATGCGTTTTACAACATATAGTGGGATCTGTACCAGACTGCATCGAGAAGTTTACAATGGCTTTTTTTTCAAAGAAAGTTTTGTAGGTACTCCCAATTTAAAATAGGCCATAACATCGGGAGCTATGTTCCCTACTCTTTGCGAGAGGTGCGTTGTCCTTTTACGTTACTTGCTAACCAGTGCAGAGAAAATGCAGGAGACGGTGACCAAAGTTTTCTCGTCCTTATTTGAGTAGACTAGAACGTCTAAACATTTGCAGATGTCGCAGCAAAGGCAGGATATTCTCCTCAGTTAACTTAAGACTCTTAGTGTGGAACGGGATAGTAACAAGAGCCCTTGACCTGCTGCACGGCAGTCCAGTGCTCCACAACCTGAACTAACCAGGTGGCTATTAATGTCATTGGAAGAAGTAGAGATACAGGTATATTGCCATACTTTTAAAAAATAGTAACAGTAATCTGGTACAAATAGGGAGAGCTAAAAAAAACACATGATGGGTACAGCAAAGAAGTCCTTAGACAACTTATCGGTGGAAAGGTTTTCAGAGAATGAGTTCAGTATTATTAGAATGAAACGCGGTGCATAATTATATGAACAGGGTACGAACAGGAAATGCCGACGGAAATTCAAACCTCTCTTACTCCCTTTCACCAAATTTACCCAAACCTGGGATTTAATTCACCAAATACAACTAAAAATTACTCTTTTGAAATCGTAGATTATATCTCCTGCTGATTCATCAGACGATGTCTTCGATACGTGGAAAGTCTCCGTTCCCTTTGTGATGTCGATTGCGATCTCTTCCTTAAATGTTTTTCCGCCTTCCGACAACTCCAATGAATACTTACTCACAGAGCTCTGAGAACAAAGAGGATTTCATTTAAAAACAGGACGATTCACTTCGACATATCAAAAATAGATGTCCAGTTCTGCTACCTTTAGTCAAAAACCAAAAATAAAAGGTTCATAGGAAGATTGACGACACTTACTCAAAAACTGTTTTTTTTTTCAGCATCATATTTACTAAACTATGGAAAACAGAAACTGAACTTGGAACGACCGATCTTTATTCAAAAGGAAAAACCACGTATGAAATAGCCCAATGTTAACGTAGTAAATTTTTAACTCCTCAGCACCGAAGACTCTGCCGACTGGTGACCACACATTTTTTTGGTAGGCTCTTCGAGAGAATTTCAAGTTGAATTAAGACCATGTTCATGCTCTCTTTGATAATTATCATTGTCTTTGTGCCTGACAAAGTATTTTAACTGCAAGGATATCATATCACATGATCACTTACCTTCTCCTCTGATATGAAAAAGGTTGAGTGAATAGATACGACCAGCAAGGCAAGACACGAAAACAACAACTTGAATTTCTGTGCAAAAACAGCTAGTCAGTAAATGAACGCAAATTTCGTTGAGGGTTTATGAAATGCTACTTTTACAGCAATATGTTTTGTTTCTTGATGATATTTTAGCGATTGTTTCATGAAATGATCCTCGAACTCCCAAAAATACTCGAGGTTACTCATACGCAGGCTTGTCGTTGTGGCAAGTTGCTAAAGGAAAAATACAAAGGCGACCTAAAACAAAATTCCTTAGGATCAGAGATTATTTCAAGGCTCTTATACTTGCTTCGTCTAACATGAAACGTCCAAAAGAAGGAGCTATGCGTGCATTTCATAGAGCTCACTTAAAAGTTCAGCACTTACGAAAAAGTAACTTGGACTCAAAATTCCCTTTGAGATTTTCTCCAGAAAAAAGGGGACATGTTTGATGTTTTTTGATTTTCAAACAATGTTGTAAAATGAAAGTTTAAATCAACCTACCATTCTAGCTTTCCAAGGTGTTCTATTCTCTAAACGATCAAGTCTCTCTGAGTTTTTCTTCAATTTGAAGATCCAATCTAGAACTCTGTGAAAAAGTCTAGTAAACCACTCCTTTTATATCACGTGCTAGTGATGATTGCAGGCCAAAAAATAACTCATTGCGTGAGTCATTTTAGTTGACAATATAAGGAAGCATCTCCTTATCTATTTCATCCGTTTCAGACAAGATATTGATAGTGGTTTTTTAACTTCCTCTTAAGCTAACATCGGCTAAAGTTTATTGATACGTTGATACAAATTTTGTTAAGAAGTAATATACTTTTTCAGTGTCCTTTGGTACAGCTTTATAAACAATCAAATATGTCCTTTCTTCTATATCAACCTTAAAATGCTCTTTCATCTTGATATAAATTTTAAAGTGGACTGTTATCGTATTGGACATGAGGTTTAAAGGCTTTGTAATAATACTTTGGTAATATCAACCGATGTGCCCCCTTGTTAGCTGTTTTTTTTCCTTCTTTTTTTTGGTGACGTGGTGCTTTTAGACCAATCTTACTTAGCAAAACAATATTCGATGGATTACAACCTTCCAGATGTTACGACGTAATGAAACTAGGAGAGAAAAGTTCTCGCGAGTCATTTGGTGTTGATCTTGTTTTCTCCTCTTAAACTGAAGTAAAGGTATTCATCCGTAGTTAAATGTCATATTCTTCCAAATTGTCTTGGTACATACTGTATATGAAAAAAGCTCTTTCAGATGTGATGTACATTATCCAGGGAGAGGATGAGGGTAATGTTCCTTTTATAGATCAATTAATCAATATCAATCGATGTTTTATTTAGACAGGTAACGTCTAAGAGCTGTACAAGCTCGATCAAAATACGTACGTGAATTCTTAAAATATAAAGATTTACGTAATTTACATATTTGAACAATTTATAGCTAATGAAAATTTGCTATAATCTGATACGTATTTTAAAATCTTGTTAAAATAATGGTGGAACAAAATGAGCAAATAGTGAAAAGTCTAATGTTATAAGTTTACTCTTAAAATAAGCGATGTTGATGGCCTCTTTCCGCCAGACTGTTTCAGTGCATCATACTGAGATCACCAAGTTCTCAACAGCACTAATTTAGATGCAACTACAACTCAGTTAGAAGGAAAAACTGCAAATCAGATATAGTGAACCAAAATTGAAAACTTACACTATTTATAAATACTTGATGAATATCAGAGTGGACTTTTTATCAGATTATTACGGTATTTCAAGTGGTAATCTGAAAATCAATACAGATTTAACCTCGAAAAACTTTCTTTTCATAGCGGAAGGTAAAGTAATTGGCCGAAAGTCTCAATATATTGTTGAGTATCGGGTAATGTAAACTGACAGACCTATTATCCAGAGAAACCTATGGTAGAAGGAGAAATTGCAAATCAATTATGAAGTGGAACGAAGAAAACTGGAACATCCGCGCTGCCGTTTATATTACCAATTGTAAATGGAGAGCTGGTGGAAAGTACTGGAGTGTGTTAATAAGATTTTACAGAAGTGTGCGGTTCGATAATCTAAGTGGTAAACTGAAAGGCAATACACTGTTGCTGAAAAAACTTCCCGTTAATGTCAAACCATGAACAATTCCCGCATTAAAGAGGCGGCTAAAATCTCTTCGAGATGAACGGACCTTTTCACACGTATCTGGAAATTGTTTGTGATTGGTAAACATTTATGATAATTTATATAGATATCTCGGCTCCTTTTCATAGCTTTTTTTTTTTTTTTTGGAGAGTCCAGTATTTTCTTCGACAATTCTTCTTGGTTCTACGCCAACTTTATGAGGAATATTTGCTGACTGATCAACCCATTGATGAGAAATAATTGTGTTTTTTTTTTCTTTTCTGGAAATCACAACTTAAAACTGTCCCTAAATACCATTAGATATCTTCGAATGACAAACGTCTTCTTCAAGAGCCAAATATTAGAACTCTAGTCACTCTCGGTGACCGCTCGTTTGAGGTCGCGGTACCCAAACTTTGGAACAGTTCACTAGCGAATATCTTAAGTTCCGCTATTGTAAACTATTTCAAACACTTGCTGAAAATTTTGCCTATTCATCAGGATAAAGAGGGATATGGCTCATATGGTCGCCATTAGCAAAGTTATAGCTTTTTAATTTTTTTTTTTTTAACTTTTTTCACTTTTTCAGACTTTGATAATTTTCATTGTTATTATGTTTACCGTAATCTTATTTAATTTACTAATCATTTCCAAGATTTGTTTATAGATTGTGAACCTTGATTGTCTCTGGTGAACATATTCATATTGTTATGAAGTATTTAGCTGGTTCCATATAAGTTAGTCATTCGTTTAAATATATTTACTGCAGGAATTCCAAGTCCGAAATTATTTAGGTTTTATTTGTCACGATGGGTCTCTAAATTATGCCATTCTTGTCTAACGTCTATTATCCATTAGTGAACGTGCTTAGTTTGTCTTCTGAACTTGCCTTGATCATGAAGCCAAACGAAAGTTGTTGTTTTTGCTTACACAGTCAAAGACTGGTTCGGATTATTGGAAGGTAAACTATGTTGCCGTCCATTTGTGTGCTTCTCGAAAAATAGGTCTGCGTTAACAATGTGATAAAAAATGTTTAGTCCTCCAAGGTCAGTTGGCCAGCCTGCTTACTCGTGCCTACCGAATATGCAAGCATGTACATTAGAGTTTTACTTTGTTGTCGGTGAGCATCAAAGAAGAATGAGAATCAATGTCTGAGAGTCTAAGAGAGTAGTCAACCAGAGTTAGAATTAGAAGACAAGAGTTACCCAGATTGAAGAGGCTTTGGTGTAAGAAAGATTATCTTTTAGATTTAAAAAGACTAAGAAAACACTGGTCGGGAATCTTTGGTGCCTTTGGTGAAAGCGTGTCGTAGAAATGCTTTTAAAACACTGCAGTTGATTTAATTTAGTAATTCTTTCTCTAAACGTAGATTTTAACAGTATTTCAACTATTATTTAGTTTCACAACACTAACTAAAGAACTATGATACAAAGTTCATATACTAGAACAAAGCTTAGGCATAATCTGATAACAAAAAACTTTTCCGATATTAAATCAACTGACTCTCATTTTAGAGAATACAACAGACCATTGCAAGCTTAAAAATAATTATCGTTATTATTTCTTTGCGTTAATCTCAGCTGCCCCTTGCTGTAATTAGCAAAACATAAATTTTCGACTCCTCTTCGCCCGACGAAGAGTGGCAGGGTGGCCGTCTAAACTTCAGAATCAATTGCACCAGTTTTTTGTTGTTGTAAGGGTTAAAAAAAGAAAGGATGCGAAAGATTGCCTTCATTAATAACGTGGAAATTAATAAGAACAATTACGTATTCAGCTTAAATTGAATAAACCCAACCTATATTGCTTTTGTTACATATTGTTGGGTTGCAATGACGTAAAAACGTCTACAACACGCTTTAACAAATGCACCAAAGACTCTCCACCTGTATATTCTCCGTCTTTATTAATCTAAAACATAATCTTTCTTGCATCAAAGTCTCTTCAATCTGGGTATAACCCTGATGTTCTGATGCTAACTCTACACTCTTAGACCCTCACACATTGATTCTCACTGGCAACTAAGTAACCTCTGAAGTACATACTTAATTATTCATCATTGGTTGGCACGAAGGAGCAGGCTGGCCAAATGACCTTGGAAGATTAAACATTTTTTTTCAGATCGTTAACCCAAACCTTTTTACAAGAATCTCACCAATGACGAACGACGTACTTAATCCTTCCGATCACCCGAATTAGTCAATGACTGTCTTGATTTCAGTGTACCACTAGAAGAACGGGAAAAACAAGCCTTGTTTACTGGCACATAATATTCCCATAATCTGACGAAAAGTCCTTTCCAATATTCATCAAGTGTTTATTTGTAGTATTGGGGTTGTGAAGAGTTCTAAATTTTGGTTCACTATTGCAGTTCTCCCCTTGAACCGAAGTGTTTTCGCTACTAAACTAGTGCTTAGAATGTGACGATCTATCCAATAAAACTTCCTACAGGTACTTGAAAGCTTTTGTAATTCTCCTCACCCTCTGGTTGTATAATGTATATCATATTTGAAAGAACTTCATTTGTTGCATACAATCTATACCAAAACAATTTGCAAGCATATGACATTCCGAGGGATAAAAAAATGTATTACATCCATTTTGATATCCCTTGTGATCCTTGCATTCTGATTGTCTCTCACCGGTGTGATTTTTTTCTCAAGCTCTACCATTTCAAGATCTAAATCTTTTCCAGCCAGTGAGACAAGAACCCGATGGAATTTCGAGGCTTGTTTAAAGAGTTCAGTCAAAATGTAGGGAAAAGAGGGACAATGTTTGAGCTTTTTACAAACCAGCTCAACATAATGGATCAATGAAATACTTGTACAGACTAAAAGACTTGTATTGAGCGACTGAATTTTTTATTTCAAAATAGATGTAACAAAGTGGTACTCGAACTTCGTGTCGTGCAATTTTGGTTTGAAATCATACTTGCGATTTCAAATCAAACTCTCGCTGCACGCTTGATTGATTTTGGAACAACGATATGATAACAGATCAAATTGCACTCCACTCAGTACAATTAACATTAATTATTTCAGTTTAGGAGCTTAAAATAACACTAACATCCTCAAATATCAATAGTTATAATCCACTAATTATTTTTCTGAAGCACGGTTGGTCTAAACGTACCACACGTGCCGAATATAGGACTGGGGAACATCCGGTGATAATAACCAAGTATGATTACGCAGTTTTCAAACCTCACGTCCATAGCAGTTTTCAAACCTCACGATAGCAGTTTACATTTAAAATTCAATTCAATGGGAGAGAGCATTTTGAGGTTGTCACAGAAGAAGAGAAATATCTGTTTATTTAATTTATTCAGAGAACACTAAAATATGAACATCCCACGCAGTAGATGGTACTCGGTTATCGTTTATGTAATTAGGAACAAATGCATTATTATTCAACGAGAAATATATATACCACCGTATCGACATATTTTAGCCGATGTTAGTTCAAGAGGACGCTCAAAAACCAGTATCAATATCTCGTCTGAAACAGATGAAATATTACGTCCGAAAAAGATGGTATAGATTAAGCACTTCTTTCTTATATTGTCTATAAGAATGATAAACGCAATGGGTTATTTTTGGCCTGATATCACCACTGACACATGATTTAAAAGGGGTAGTTTGCCAGACTTTTTCAGATAGTTCCAATTTGGATTTGCAAATGGGAGAACTCAGAGAGACTTAACTGTTTAAAGAAGTGGATTCTTTGAGAAGCTAAAATGGTAGGTTGATTTTAACTTCCATTTTAGTAATATATGTAGATATCAAATAATATCAAACATGTCCTCTTTCTTCTGGAGAAAATCAAAATGCTTTTTCTTCAATGCAGTTACATTTTTAAAAATCATTGGTTACACTTAAAAAAAGTCATGAATTCTTCATTCTTACACTATTATGGTGTTATAAGCTGGGTTACTGCTTAAAGCAACACAGTATCTTGGATATTCGTTGTAATAGAGATAAGAAATTATGGCAAAGGATCTCTTCCACCAACACTGCGTTGAGCGATCTCTTACCTCCCCAGAGAACACGGCAGTTGAGAACTAGGTCGCATAATTATATTTTGCCTAAGGTCCAGACAAGCCGTTTTAAATCAGTTTTTATTAATAGATGTCTTTTCAATAGTAATTAATACCTTTTCTTTTTCCTTATTCATTTTATTCATGTTATTCATGTTAATTGTAGCACGTCTGTTTGCACAATAATTCTTAATAAAGACCTTTATTATTATTATTATTATTATTATTATTATTATTATTATTAAAGGTAAGAAGTGATTACATTTAGAATGAGTACAGGTACATGTACAGTACAGTACAGTACTGTACAGTACTAATTCAGACGTGAGATTTTGAGCTCCTCGATTACCCAAAGTTTAACTTTGTCGATTCAAGGTTAGTC